TAGACCTGCGCGATGGCCTGGTTCGAGAGCAGTCCCATGCCGGCCAGCGGCATCGCGGCCGCCGCCTCGGCCGACGCGGCGTCGGGCGCCCTCCGTCCGTCCAGACTGCCGCCAGCCGCGTTCAAGAGTCCGGGTCCGAGTCCCGCCGCAGGGCCGAAGGGGCCGGCCAATCCGTGCGGGCCGAGGAAGCCGGCGCCCGGCGAGAGGGAGGCCAGCGAGCCGCCCTGGTCGGACGCGCAGCCCAAGCTGGCCGCCTGACCGGAGAAGAGGCCGCGCGGCGCCAATCCGAATCCGAGTCCGAGTCCGAGTCCCGGCGCCAGAAAGCCCGGCCCCGACGACAGCGAGCCGGTCAGGTCGTGGGCCACGCTGGCCGGGTACGTGGCGCCCGAGTAGACGCTGGAGCCGGCCTGCATCGACGGTCGACGCGACAGCATCTCGACACCCGCGATCGGATAGTGCGCCAGCAACGGTTGCTGGGGCCGCCCGCCAGCCAGGTTGCGTGGATACGAGGCGTCTTGAGGCGGGAAAAAGGGAAGAGGAGGCATACAATTGGCCGTCGCGTGGCAGCTCGACTGGACGAGTCTTGAGTCCGTGACGCGGTTGAAGCGGCACTCAAGCCGTTGCGACAAATGACGAGACGTTTGCGCAAAACTGGCAATCAAATCTATTCGAGCTCGTCTCGTTGTGAGATGATAAAGAGACCGGCGGTTGCGTTTTCACACAATCCCTCGAGTAGACCTTACCCCACCAGCCAACTACTCATAGGCCTACTTCCAAAGTGCAACAATCAAACAGGCTTGGATGAGTGCAGTTTCAACCTACAGCGCGACTCGAACCCGGGCCGTGGCAGTGAATGAGTACAGTCTCAACGCGCGTTACCATGCCACATTTATGTCGTGAATACAGTTCTTATAGTCGACCTTTTGGCTGTCGCAAGACCTACTTTAAACCGAAACAATTTGAGAGGCAATGCGCTCCTACCTTTACAAGATCGTACTACTTAGATCCATAATAAGTAGTCTTTGAGACTAGCAGTAGAAGTTGAATAGGAGCTATAGTCGTCACAGATCGCATAAGGTGACAAGGAATAACATTGTATTTCACTTAACTCTGTCTTACAGAAGCCCAGCTCATCCAAGCTGGACTCAAATGCAATTTCATCTTGCCCGAACTGGTCTCATCCACACCTCCAGT